GCGTTGCTGTGTTCAATCCGGCCCCATGGGACCGTTGGTGAAACCCTGGCTTGACACCCGAACCTGAAGTCTCATGCTTGCACAAGCCGCAACTCAACAACGAGGACCAAATCCCCAAACACACACACACACACACACACAAGGATGCTTTTGCATGCTTTTCTTCCGACAAAAGCACTCGCACAGACAGAGAGAGAGAGGGAAGAAGCGACACACACACACACACAGAGCTTCAAACGGATGAGCCGACAGCCACTGCAGACTTTACTGGCTTTTTTGTCAACAGCAGGCAATGCCAAAGCCGTCACATGATTACTTCCCAGTCTAACATGTCACGAAAGTCGTCCAAGCTGTATGCTTGCAGGTGTGTCTGCACGTACGACGGCCGACGGATCAGCAGGTGTGTAAGGTAGCTGGTCACAACCTGCAGCTCGTAGTCTCTATGATCTCCGCACCAAGCTGCGACAAAGAGAAGGTTCTGAAAACTGGCTTCGTCCACGTGTTTGCCAGCCTCGACCCCGACGCATGTAACATGTACCAGTGATGCTCTGTGAAACTTTCTCCCCAAGGTCTCAGATTCGGATAAGGCCAGCTCGAGATTCTTCATGTGCATGTGGGTCTTCGAGGAATGGTGTCGATAGGCAGGGTTCGGCTCGCCAAAGTTCTCGTCGAAAAGCCAGATCCGACGATGCCCACCCTGTTCCACCAGCACGTTGTCTTGGAAGGAGAACTGTGAGCGAGGAGCAGCAGTCGCAAGCAACCTTAGATCGTCTCTGAGACAAGAGGGGTGCGTGTAAGACTTCAGACAAGAGAAACCAGCAATCTCTTTACACATGTGGGCGACCTATGAGCCCAAAACAGAACCAAACATCCACGAAGCTGCCTTTTTGCCACTAAGCCGGCATTCTCTCCCGACAACGTGGTGTAAAATCCTAACTGGCATCGGCCCAGATCTTGCTGCCCCAGCAGGAATGCAACCAGCGCAGCTGCCTTGGGACGAATTTTGAGGTTGTGCAGCTCCCCTTGTCGGTTCCATCGATAGTCCACCAAAGTAAACTTCATGTCTAAGAGAAACAAGTAAACATCGTTGGCTTGTGGTTCCGCACTGGAGGAGGCGAAAGGTATGGGCACCCACCCTGGGCCCACGGAAGTTGCTGCATCATCTGCAACGGGCCTCACAAGGGCCACGAGTCCAGATTCCGTGGTCGCGTCCGCGCTGAAGATATCGGAATGGGTGCGGATGTCGAGGTCTTGCGCGCTTCGGCCACAATGGGGACAGCCACGTGCTAAGCAACCCGCGCAGAGAAATGACTGGGGAAGTCGAGTTCCTTCTCGGCCACGCCCCGGACAACCAGGCGATGGGCAGCGAAGCACGTGGACAGTGTACCCGCGGCAGGTCGCATGGTAGAAACAAGGCTCCATCGGCTCAGTGTCATCGAGCAGGTTACAAGCCCATCAAGACTTCTTGTGCGTCCTTCGATGTCTGCACCACTAGATCTACCAGCGAGCTCGTAGACTGTCTGTTTCGATTCGTGCCTGCAAAGCAATGAGGTCACGCCACAAGGTCACTATGCAACATCTTAATCAAATCGCTCCCCAGTATGGTCGGCATTGGACAAGTTAAGCTGGTGTGGATCCACAGTACTTCAGCACAATTAAAGTCCAAGTTTTCTGCGAGCCAGCTGGCGACAGAAGAGCAAACAAACCCTTGGCCCGAAACCTAACTTGTGCTGCTCTCGGAGTCGGAAGCCGGCAGCCTCGTTTAGCAGAGCAATCCTCGGTTATTCAACCCGATGTAGAGTCATCTTGCGTACAAGACGCCCGCCTTGCATCGGAGTCACAAGAATCTTCATTCAGTTTTCCTTGGGTGCTTTTACCGCATACAAGAAGCTAGTCAGCTAGTCGTGCTCGCCACGCAGTCTTTCGCTGGGTTGGACAGGCCTGGCGGAATCTTCGGGGCAGCTGGGCCAGCTTGTCCTGGCAACGTGCCCAGCCCAGCCGGCGAAAGTCGTTTTGGTTCTGCCCGCGGGCTCAAACAGAACAGCCTCAAAATTCGATGAAACTTAAATCACACCAAACCGCCACAAAGAGATGCACGCAACATCAAAGCTTCGGCGCGGGTTGGAGGACTGTTCGGATAGGGTGAGGCTTTGTGTTCAGTGTATCTCTCGGGCAAAGGCAAAGCCTAACCCATTGTTGCAGAAGGGTCGTGCAGAAAATTAGCAGCGGAGCTTCGCAGGATGCTGAGGTCCCCTGCAAGATCAAACCCGTTTGATACTGGCTTTTGGTTTCTTGACGCACCTGCCGAATACTGGCCCCCGGTATTCGAAACGAAAACGCTCTGAATCTCAAGCCAGTTGAAACCTGAAGAAGCAGTCCCTGCATTCCAACTTGTGATCACTGGTCACTACGGAGCCTCTGCCCCACTGGGCCAAGCAATGCGCAGCCAAAGCCTCAACTTGTTGTAGGCTTTGTTGCAGCGGAAAGCTGCAAGGTTTTATCGGGGCCACGTTCACTCATGTGGAAGTGGACACATGTGGACACGAACATACAGTTTGCCGATGCCTGTCCGCAGAACTGGTTCCGAAAGTTGGCACCACCATCTAGCTTTCTTTGTGCGAGCGGAGAGGCTCAAGCCACATGGCATGGCACAGGAAGCTCAGCGGCGACAGCTTGTAGTCCTGTGACATCAGTGGGGCTTACATAGAGACGCAAGTCCGAGAATCTCGGGCTGGGAACAGATCATCATGCCTCACGCCTCCAATTGTCATGCTCAGACTAGGGCAACATGTGTGTGTCTGAGCGCTGTTGTCGGCAGTTCGCAACGCCAGGTGGAGCTATTCGCGACAGATGTAGACAGAGATCAACCTGGCGTGAGTCATAGAATAAGGTCCAACTACAGGGAGAGGTGTGTAAAGGTTGAGAAGGACCAGCTGGATCTGATCTCCTGTTGCGGGAGCAAGTTGCCCAGCTTGTCACGCTGAGAGAAGGAGACTTCCAGGGCTGTGACGATGCTTGGAACGATGCCTCGGCATAAATCAGTGCTGGTCTTCTGGTCCGACAGTTCGTGTGCAGCCACTACTAGCCAAAGAGTTTGCCAACATGAGCTCGAGAAGACGAAGCTACTGACGATCTGCACCGTGATGATCTCTCGGTGCTGCAGCCCCGCCAAATCCAGAAACGCGACAAAGATTGTCGCTGCCTGGAAGAGGACCTGACGGCATGCGCGGTTCGAAGTTGGGCAGTGGGCGCTTGAGTTGAGAAAGACAGTAACACTCAGCATGGGACGTTCAAGCCATCTCATATAATCATGAAGATGTCTCGCATGCAAAAGCTTCGCCATGGACCCTAAAGTTCGAACTGTTGGTCTCTCGGAGATTGTGCCATCCCAGCAGCGACCAATGCCAGACCTAAACTGGGCGTCTGGTTCTCCACCAGAGCATGGCAAATGCAGTAGTAGGTCATGGCCTGGAGGATGTGATTCCTCAGGAAAAGGACAATGATGCAAGATCAGTGCGACTTTGAGGCTTGCCAGATGCTACACTGCCAGGCTACTTGAGGCTGAGACCACCAAACAGGCACCGGTGTTCATAGGGTGCCAGGGCCAACCCATCGTTCAGGGGATCCGAAAGAAAGCAAACACCAGCTCGTCGTTTCAAGGCCAAGGATCAAGCCGAGGCCCAGACAAACGCGGCAGTAGGCATCATAGCACTGCCACTTGAACTGAAGGTTACCTCAGACTTCCCCGAGGTATCTCCAGCTTGAGTTGAATCGAAGCGCAGCACTCGGACTTCCTTTATGGCACGACCATATGGTGAATGCGCAGGTCACTAAGCCGAGAATTATTAAAGAAGCTTCAAAGACCATGGGGCTGAATGCCGTCGACAGATCTTGCTCTGGGGTTGGCAAGTGGGTGTAAGCCAATGCTCTATGTGTCTCTTTCGGAGGCTTCTCATTATCGGAAACTAGGAGCGAAAGAGCTGGACATGCCGCTCCGGCATGGCCCCGCGGCTGCCGGATAGCAGGTCCTCGGCTGCTGGATTTTCCGACTGCATGTCCAAAAGGAGGATAGCACACGGTAAGTGGATGGAAACGTCTAGAGCGCACTGTCTTAGCATTGTTAAGATGCGATCTTTGTCGTCGGGGGTAACTAGAAAAATCGAGGCCGCAGCTCTCTGCCGTTTCCTCAGCCTCAAAACCCGACTAGCGAGGCAGCAGAAAGAACAGACAAAGAGCAGTGCTAGCAGCCGGCTCGCGAAAGGGCGACGGCAAGTAGGTCGCCGGTGAACTTTGACTACGCGACACCGCATCTTACAACACATCAAATGTCTGTGCTGACGCTGAGATGCTTCGAAGGGCTGAGTCTCCTTGCGCAAGAGAGGCTAGATCCGCGCAGGTCAGTCGTCTGATGTGTGTTTGGGCTCCACTGTCAGCGGACTCCGTGAGCCTTGGGTCCCGAAGCGAACCGCTCGCGCATTCCTCCACAATCCAACTTCTGCAGGCAGGAAGTCCTCAAGAACTAAATCCCTGCACCAGACTACACCGTAGTCTTAAATAAACCTCAAGCCCTTTCTACACTTGGACTATGCATATGCCAGGAACCGCGGCGTCGACTGTGCCGTGGGCTCATGCCACACGGCTACCCCAGATTGCAATGGTCATCCCAAGTTTCGCCCTAAACCCTGAACCTAAACCCTGAAAAACACGAAACAAAGTAAGTCCCAAACTTGAGCGGCTGAGGGAGTCTTTGGGTTGGGCTTCCGGCACCGTGCATCCCCGAGGTGGGATCATCTGATACTCAGGCTAGGCCTGGGGACGCAGCCTCCAAGTAGCCTAATTAGAGCTTGTGAAACAGCAAACGCCTCCGGTCCTTGGCTTCTAAGAAAGCGTGCGAGGTGGCACCTTGCAGATGTCTCGACACTTCGTTTCAGATAGGTGCATTCATACCCACAAACCAATTCAGTCGGTCCCCCTGGTACCAGGACCCGGGTTCAGAGCCTTTCGGCAGGAAGAGCAAAATGCACAGAGACTGGATGGTTCGCCGAAATTTGTTGTCAAAAAGGCTCCTCATCTCTCCCCTGTCGTGCTCGTGTGCGACAACCTCTCGCTTCCTCGACAATCTCACCACGAGAACCCTGTACACTGCCTGCATCAGCCGCTACTCGCAGCGGCTCCTGCAGCACCTGTCGAGGGCCGGCGAGCCCAAGTCCGATTAAGACTAAGCTTCGTGCAGTCATGAAGGGAGTCGCAACCAACTGCTACATACTGTACTGCTTGGAAAAAACTCGTCAACTTCCGTGAACCATCCTGGCGAAGATTCCTGAACTTGAGGCTTTGTCGGCAAACATCTATTCTGCCATGCTGCTTGGTCGTCAGGCGCCGTTATCTGACCGCTGCTGCTGCTCTGCGCAGGAGCACCTGGGAGTCAGGAGAAGCTGGGCGGAGTCTAAGCACCTTGGCAGCCAACTCGGAGGCACGAGCTGAACTTGCAATTTGCCTCTAATGTTCTCAGGACGAACTCGCAGTTTGTGCAGAACAACCGGAAAGGGCTCTCGTCATGGAGTTCAGCACATGATCCAAAAGTGTCGCAACTATCTTCGGCACATTCGTGCTACCGAAGAGCTCGGGGGGGCTGCCTTGGATTCCTCTCCCGCCGACAACTGGGCCTGCAAGCGGTCTGGAACTCAAGCTTGTCGATAAACAGCTTGTGATGAAAAAGCGCTGATGCTCAACAGCTACAATCGGATATACTGAAGGGCCCTTGCCGAGTGCGCATGTTTGCGTTACACTTGCGTGACTTCTCTTCGAGTATCTGTTTGTGTCGGTCGCTTGGACGCTGGCTCGCTCGCTCGGTCGCTCGGTCGCTCGCTGCGTTGGCCCTGTCGGCTGGTCTGCCTGCCTGCCTGCCTGCCTCTGTTGGTCTCTCTCCTCCCGTCCGTGCGTGCCGGTATAACACAAAGGCCTGGGAAGCATGGGCATGTCACGAGAAACCAGCCGAAGGAAATCACAGGGACCAAGGCAAGGCGGGGTCGCCGCACTCGGGAACGATTCCGAAACCAGCTTCGACCTAGAACATGGGCTGCAAGGCTGAAGTCACTCTAGTCCCAAAATTAAGCCATCGATTGCAGAATCTAGGATGTTTAAACACTCGCCCAAGCCTGTCCAGCGGCTTTGCCGTGGACCTGCTCCCAGTCCTGCGGGTGCGGGGGTTCCAAGTGCCGGTCTAGTTTGACACTTCAAGCAGCAGGAGATGCGTGGATGGGTCCAAAGAGCCAAAGTTGCAGTGCCACTGGATCGAGGGGCCCTACTCGGCGACCAAGTACGGCGTGCAACAAGATGGCAGATTGAGTGATTCATCGCCACACTCGTTCTCGTCGCTCGCAGTCATCGCCGCCGTACAGACCATTGGCTTCCATTGGTTTGAGCGTTCTGACTCGCACCCACCTTCCACTGTCTGCTATTCAACTGTGCCTTGTCCCGGTTTGACGACAACGACGTCGCCGCCGGCCGTGAGAGCCGGGTGGGGTCTGCTTCAGCGCATGTTCTCTCTTGCTATTGCCAACACTGCCGCTTGCCCGCAATATTGGTCTCCGGATATACCACATAGCACACGGCAGCAATATGCATATTCTTTCTACAAGCAAGGTTCCGAACCCATCAAGCCCCACTTCAACCGCGACAAACTCTGGTGGTCGCGACTGCACGGTTCAGATGCCGCGCAAGTGGGCTCTGTCTCTCTCGTGATGTCAACATGCTTCTCGTGCAGCCTGTGCCTACGTTTGCCTTTTTCGTCCGCACTTTCCTTGTGATCTTGGAATGGCATGCGCAGCATGTTGGCCACGCCCTGCTGCTCGAAGTCGACCAATTTCGCCTCAGTCATCCAAAACCCATCTCTTTGCTTTGATTTGCTGTGAGATCGTTGTCTGACTCTGGTTCTCTCTCGCTGGCTCTCTGCCTGCTGCCGACACGTTTGTCATGCCTCGTAGAACCTCGAAACTTTGTGAAGATATGTGTAGGCGATGCGCCTGCTAGCTGGGGTTGGGATGTTGTCTAGCAAGGCATCAAACAATCGCTAGAATCGATAGAAAGACTCCAGGAGTCTCATGGTCCCCGGAAAGCCTGTACTCCGCACACACTGCCGTCCGCGCAGAATTATCACCCTCCACAGACAGGCATCGACAAGGCACACTTCCTCAGGGTTGTCAGGGTTGATTACTCTGCGTCCCGGGCATCGTTAACAAGTCAAGACAATCCTCAAATTCCTGTCACCCCCCCCCCCCCAGATAGCCTTGATGGTTGAAAGCTGGTTCTGCGTGGGGATCGGCAAACGCACGAAGCGCGTGAGCCTCAAGCTCTATGGCATTTATTGCTTGATGCTTCAATCGCATCACAACTAGGTGACAGATCTCTATGCGGGGCTTTACTATCAACAAGCTCGGCATAGCTCGGCAGCAATACTCGAGTCCATTAACATGGAGCTCCCATGCCTAAGCAACTGTGAGCAGCTTGGCAACATCTTCACACCGAAGCTGTGAGATGCAATCGAAGCGTGCATGCTGAGCCAGACGGCCAGCAGCAAGTACCTGTGCAAGCTGATCTCAGTGATCTGGCATGCGCAACGACGCAGGAAAACTTTGTTTTGAATACCAGTAGTGACTAACATCCAATTTTTGCCACCCTCTCAGCTGAACAATGCCGCACCGCAGGGAGAATTGAAGCCGCCACTACACTGCAGCCAAGTTGCAGGAAGGCACATGCATTGGACAGTTGGAACAGGTGCAGGACGAAGGGTGGGGCAGACGCCTGGATTCGCCCCTTGCAGAATACGATGATGCAGAACTTCATGAAGAGTGCTCCGATGAGGTGGTAGACGTCCATTCCTCCACACATGCAGAACATGCCGCAGCTCCGACAAATGAGCCAGCATATGCTTAGGAATTTGAGTGCATACGAGCTTCTGTCGACTGTGAGGTTGACCAGATCCCGGACGTCGTCCCGGAACAGTTGAAATCGTTTCAGCTGCATGCCCCATCGCAGGCCCTCTCCTGAGAATGCAGCAACGTGCCAGTTTCTTCCTTTGGCTTGGAGTTCCGCCGTGACTTGTGACGATCTCCTGATCTGTGCGAAGCGGACTTCTGCTCGCAAAGCTGAGCAGCACAACAAAACCCTGAGGAACACTTCCCGAGCCAAGAAACTCTCAAGAGTTTGTTTCTTGTCGAACTGGAAATTCTCGCGGTTGTAGCCTGAACTGCATCAACGCAGCGAGATCTCCCCCAGTCTCACGGATGCCGACTCAGTAGGGTTGGTCACTGCGTGTTTCTGCCTCCTTCTGAGGCGCTCGTTCGGTATACTAAAGAAGCAAGTGAAAGTCTGGCATTGCATCTGCTGTGCACCACTTTGGGGTGCAGTTGCACATCGCAGCTCCACGAGTTTCATCATGTTTAACTACCGTCAGTACCTGTCCGCACTGCAGACCGACATCTCAGATTCCTCGTGCGAATTAACTTCACTTCTTCATCTCCATTACTAGCCATGTGACCGAACACAGCACTCCCGGCCAACGCCGCTGCCGTCAGCATTGCCATGGCGATTAAGCAGACCGAAAGTTAGGGCAACTTCTACGATGCGGACCCTCCGGAGCTTTCGAATGCTCCAGGTGAGGCTGCAAGGGTTCGGAGGTCCAGTCAGGAGTGTTGTGAGTTGAGGCTTCGGATTGCCATTTCTCTTTTCTTGGATCGATGCCTTGGACACTCCCGGACAAAGCCGAAGTTGGAGCTCGGAAACTGAGCGAGAAAACGGTGAAAGAAGCTTGTTATTTTAACTTGCCCGCAACCACCCCCTTCCTTCCTGGCGGCGCTATGATTTGATTCTTTGCGCACGGTACCTCATGAGACATAGCATGCGCCAAGCTGAGAGCAGCGACGGCAAGGCGGATCCCTGTGTCGAGGCTGCTTTGAGGCTGGGAAGGGGGCATGCGTGCATGGATCCGTTCATTTAGTACCCATGTTCAAACTGACTGGAAAACGTCGGTGTCGCCATCACAAGCTCGACATGTGCAGGAAGCGTACCATTTGCAGTTGACCAGGCCAGCGTGCTAGCTGCCTGAAAATGTTTCTGGTCAGCCTTTTGCGTGAAGGTGCTTCTCATGTACTGGCCGATGTTTGCAGCAGGGCAGGTCCGCAACGTGCAAGAACCTCCAGCTGACTCCAGCTACTCAACACGAGTTCCCTGAAACTCCCCCGCCGATCCAGCTCCTGCTTTTGGGAAGCAACTGCCCAACCTAGCAATCCGAACAAGCTATGTGCCCCAGCTCGGGCGAAAGTCGCCTATGCTGAAGACCTTTCCCATCCCGACAGGCGAGACTACAGGTGCTTGTGAAGCCCAGGGGGTCGAAGCCCTGGAGGCGCTGGCAGCCTGTGCCTCCAAGACTGGCAGCGCCCCGTTGCCTGGCGACGCTGGCCTTTCGAATGTCTGCATGTCGCTTTGCTTGGGTCCTGGAGGTTCGGGCAAAGGGCCTGTAAATGCTGCAAATATCTGCAAATGCACAATCGCCCATTATCATGTGCGATATGCTGGAAGCTCATGACCGCCGACCGTGGCACTAATCCATCCTTTGCTCCAGACTGTAAGCCTGAGACCCAGAAATTCCTGAGACGGCTACCTTTGTCCAATGCGCAGAGTCATGTCATGGATAGCTTCACTTTGCCGTGGCTGCGGCTACTACGACAGCAAGACAGCAGCCCAACTGTAGCTCCACAGGCTTCGGATAACTCCTCGTGATCGTGCTGAGAGGCGCTCCCACAATAACCAAACTCCTCGGTTCACCGTGGCCATCTTAAAGCTGAAGGATCACGTTTTTGCAGGTATCCGATAGACCTATATATCACCTGAGCCATCCTGAGCCTATTGATCAAGCCACTCCCTAGAGTGCGAAGGGTGACAAACTCCGGAGCCTAATCCCCAACCCCATTTCCCCTCCCCCAGCCCCGGAAAAGGAGACCCGGAACAGTAGGCGACTCGAGGGCTGCTTGAAGGTTCCATGGGAAGGAACCTTATTCAAGCAACCTGGTTTTTTGGTAGCTGGCGGAGGCTCCAAAGGCCAACGCACAGTCTAGCAATCACGAGTGTCTGGGCGAAGACATATCCGCGTCTGGGTTATCATGGAGGAGGTTTTACAGGGGCCATGTCCCATCGTAGAGGGTTCGAAATGCCTTTGGTTGGGTTGGATATGTTGAGATGATCATGCCGGACGATCTCGACCACTGCTGCCGGGAGCCACCATCCCAGGCTCTGAACAAACCAACGATATGTAAGAAACCTCAGCACTCAGCTCGAGAATGTCCAAAACCAGCGGAAGTGGAGACTGAGAGAAGTTCTGTGCAGGGTGCCACCTGTGTGGCACCACTGCCTGCCTGGGAGGATTCGAGCTGTGCGCATCTGAAGCAGCCCCGAGGAAGACTTGTTTGCAATGTCTAGGCCGTGTTTGAAGGCCCCATGGGCTGCAGAAACCAGGAACACTAACACAAAGGAGTTTACTGTTCGCCCTTGCAAAATCCGGTGAGCCCCAAATTCCAGTGGCTGCATACAACATGCATTACACTGCTTGGGGTAGGGGCTGCCATGTGCTACCACATCGCTCTCCTAGCTTTGATAGCCCATTCCCATGCCACATCATAGAATCCTCAGATTCGGCTCTGAGCACAAGAAGCATCAGTATTTTCGAGACCCGGCTAAATCACCGAGCACCTAAAGACGATAAGGCTCCGATGACGATTTGCCTTGACTGGCGCGTGGGTCCACTGTATTTCATCCGTCCGATGCTTAAGGACAATCATCTGTCTGTCATACCTGTTCACAATCAAAATACTGATGGCGAAAGCTCCACGAAACAATCGTCCACTCGGGCCGTATCGAAACAAGGCCAATGTCGACAGGTGAACATCGCCGTTGTCAACGAATGGAAGCAACGCCTGCATGTTTAGCCTGTCGACTGAAAACGGTAGCATCTGCTCTGCTCTGAGCAAACGCAGCTCCCTAGATCAACGCATGCCCGTGGTCTGTTCCGTTGGGACATTCCATGTAGAAGGGTTCTCATCTTGATCAGGCGAACAACCATGGCCAGCGTAACAATCAGCGTGTAGAGAGGCCACGAACTGCTGCTTCCCTTCGCATGCGCTCCGTCCGAATCTTTTGTGCTGAGTGTGCTGCGCTGCGACGGGCAAGCCGGAAGCCAACACTTCTCTTGCAAGTATGTGGATGCACAGTTTCACTTGCTCACTTATCTGGTCCTCGTGTTGGAAGGGCCAGCCGCGGAAGATTGGACATCCCCTTCACTAGGTTAAAGTTAAATGTAACTCTACCTGGCTGGAAGCTCTTACGGTACACCACCAAGCGTCCCTTCTGCAACATAAGCTGCATAATCAGAATGAATATCTTGAAGGAACATGGGGCCCGTCCAGCTCACGGCAGAATGACGAATTGGTGGAGACCACCAGCAACGCAAAAACATTATGAGAAGCCTTGTGGAAGCCGCTGTCCAGTTCAAGCTTTGCAGCTTAACAGCCAAGAAGGATTCTGCTCAAGCTTCAGGGCCCCATTTCCGGCTTTGCCGGTCCTTCTTCATACAGTCTGATGAAGATCATTAGAAGGCCCTCTGAATCGCTGCATGTTTCGGCCCACCGTGTGGTGCCGGCGAGCAAGGCACTCCAGCGGGACGACCTCGAATATAAGAGCCGTCGAAGCACGCGGTGTGGGACTTAGGGCCTTGAAGCTTCGGACTGCAAGCGCCACACAAACACAATGCAAGCCAGGCTGTCATACGTGCATCGAGAGTGAATCTCGAGGCAATCTCCAACCTGTTGCAAAAACCTTCAGAAACATAGGAACACCCTCTCCAGACTGTGCAACCGCGCTGCCGCAACGTGTCGTCGAGCTGAGGCTAGCTGAAAGCCTCCCGAGTAGGTTGCAAATCTTTGCAGTCTTTGCAGGACAAATACCTCACAAGCCTCGATTCTGCGGTACAATCTGAGTACAAGCCCTCTGCGGTTTGGTGCTACGTGTAGTTCTTCCTCGGAAGAAGAAACTATTGAAGCTCGCGTCCTTTTCCGCACCGCGAGGAGTTTTCAGCCTGACTGCAGGCAAGCACAAGGGCGTCGTAGCTGATCTCATCTCCGAGGACACGAGCATCTGACAGCACCCAGGAGGCTAACTGCCAGCGCATCGATTTTCCCAAAGCAGAAACGGCCGCGTTACAGGCAACGGTACTGGTTTCCAATCCTTGTTCTTCAAGCCGTTCCAACAACATCGACACATGCTGCCATCTGCTGCTTCCACCGCAAGCAGTAATGGCTGTGCTGCAAGATACCGCACTCGTTTGTGATGCGGACAAGCCCACGTTCTGGAGCAGTCTCGAAGCTAGTCTCCACTGACAAGCAGACATAGCCAGATTGGCTGTGAGAAGGCTTGGCTCCAGGTTCTGTACCGCCAGCGACGCATAAACCTGGACCCCCTTCTGCCACTGCAGAGCTGAGACTTGGGATTCCAGCGCCACATGCTTCATGACGAGATCCCTTCCAGTGGCCTGCGCTGCAACGCGCACGACTTGCTGCCAGCGCCCTCCGGTTCCGAAAGCGTGGGCAGCAGCCGTTTCCATGGGAAGCACCTTCACGAACCCTAGCGCTTGCAAAGCGCTGAAGTACGCCACAGCCAGATGCCAACTGTTAGCCATTCCGGCCAGCAGGTTGGTATGAGAGACCACACTTGTCTCTGCTGACCACCGGTGCCAAGCGGCTAACAAGTGCAATGGCCTGCTCCAAGCTTCACTCAGCTCATTCTTGCCAGAAAGCAACGTGCCCATCGTAAACATGGTCGTCTTCATTGCTTTGTGCTTCATCTGAGCTACAAGCGCAAGAGACATTTGCCACTGCCCTTCGCAAGCTCTCAGAACGGTGTTGTAAGAGACCACATCGGTTCGGAGGCCAGCTGTTCGCTCCAGCAGGGCCAGCTGTCGGATGGCAGTCTGCCAAAGCAACCAACCCTTGGCCCGAAGCCCGGCATTCTGAACAATACTGTCAGTCTCGAGGCTCTGCTTCAGCATGTCGGAGAATCTCGTCACTGCACCTTGCCAATCCTCAACTCCGACCAACGAGCCGATCGCAGACGTGAAGCTTCTTGCGTCTGCCTGGACTCTCGCTTCTGCCATGGATTCGAAGACGCTCAGCGCTTCCTTCCAGAAGCTTGCAGCTTGGCAGGCAAACATTACTGCACCATAAGAGCCCGCATCCGTCGCAAGCATTGTCTCCCTGCCTTCCTGTAGAAGAAACAACGCGTGGTTCCACTCCTGCGAGCAAGCACTGATGATCGTGCGGTAAGACACTCTGTCACCTTGTAGCTGGCTGTCGCCGATGGACCGGAAAACGCGCAGCGCGTGCTGCCACTTGGCGCATTTGCCACAAGCCCGCAAGGCGGCGTTGAAGCTGACTATAGTCTTCCTCAAGCGTAAGCTGTCAACCATGCACAGGAAGCCCAAAGCACGCTGCCACTGCTGCGCAGTTCCACATGCAGTCATCACCTCAAGCTGGTTTCTGCTTTGTTTCCCATCATGTACACGGTACATGTCATGCTAACCATGCATGCGCTTGCTTGGCCAGTCTACAAGTCTGCACAGCTGCACAGCTCACATGCCCTCGCAACCAGGTGCATGGCTGCGTTGCAGAGGGCGGTGGAGCGCTGGGCAGGCGCTCCGAGCTCGAAGAGATGCAGCGCACGGCGCCATTCGCTGCCAGCCACCTCGGCGACCTCGGCCATCGGCTCCGGCTGTGCCGCGACGAAGTCTAGCAAGAGCCTGTGAAGCTTGTTCGCCTTAGCTCTGTTGAGGAACGTAAGTTGCAGCACAATTTACAGTAGCTTTGCTACAGTACCACCATTGTGGCTATGCGTATCGACAGATACAAGTAAGAGTACAAGAGTACTAGAATATATTAAGATGCCGCGAGGGAGAGACTTCGGCGTGTTCTCGAGGGCTTCGACTTCGATGGATGCCAGTTTGCGACAAGCTCTCACACTGTCACATCTGCCAGGGCCGAAATCGCTGCAAATCCTTCGTGACCAATCTCTGGATCCCAATGTGTGAGACAGTGAGAACTGAGTAAACAGAACCGCTTTTCAAGAATCATCGACTGCAGCAACTCCAAGCTTCTCAGGTCGGCTGTAGGAGTGCTAGAGGGATTACTTTGTGCAAACCTTCTTGGAGGTTCCTCAAGTTTATCGCGGTCGCGCACGGTCTAACAACCGAGAATGGCCCGGCCGTCCAGGCCTGAAAAGAAAGTCTGCGTACCGCATAACACAAATGGCAAAACTCCCCGGGACACCAGTTCTAGCATCCCGTGATCCCATGCAAAAAACCTAGGCTGCCCATCAGCCGAGGTAGTCCCTGCCAGAACATCCCATCCAACAAAGTGGCCGCCATTGGCTAATTAACAACTTCGGATTCCAGCCAGACTAGAAATTCCACGATGCTGCAGATGATGCAGCCACCGTCTCACCTCTCCACGGGCAATCGCGTGAACAGTTTGCCTATGTTGCCTCTATGCCGCTCTATGCATCGTATCTGACACTTATCTGACCATCTGGCGCTCCTATTTGTTCATGTGTGGGTGGGAGGGGGAATATTTCTCACATCACTCCTCAAGTCCATCTTGGCCAAATGTTGCAGCGAGCACAGCAGCAGCTGCTGTCACAATGCCTGCACGGCAGAAGAGTCTATAGAAAAAAGCAAGAAACACTAAGCAATTGTGGATGATCCAACTCAAATGAAAGGACGTTGGGCAACATACGTAGCTGACAAGATCGGGGTAGCAGGCGCAATACTTAGACGTAGACGTATACAAGAAAAGCTCCAAACTTGCGAGGACCAAGCGGCTCGGGCGAAGCTCTTCTGCCCGCAGAGCTGTCAAGAGTTTGAACACCTCCTGCCACCTTCCATGCACTTTTTATCGATTTCAAGGCGTGGGCCCCGTCTTGCACTTCAAACTTCGAGGCTGGGCCTTAGGCCCTAGTCCTACCTTCTTCCCTCAGCTGCCACTGAGATGAAACAATTCACAGAGAGAGGGATGGAGCGAGGGGGGGAGGGACATAAAATAGACGGACAGACAGACAGACAGAGCCAGACAGCCAGACACGCAGACAGGCAGACAAGGCGTCGCAAGGGTGAACAGAGCTGGACTTGTCACGTCAAAGTTGGAATGAGGACTGTGCAAAGCAGTCAAGCAGCTGGCTGGCAGCTTGGCTGGCGCTAATCCCGGTGCTGAAGGTGATCACCTGAGCCGGTGGCGGAAGCTGAAACTTTCCCGCAGCTCTTGCACGGCTTCAGCTCGTTGCCTCTGGCCGAAGGCTCGCCGCCCGGAAGTCACTCAGCAGTCCAAGGGCCTCTTTCCATCTGCCAGCTCTGCCCTCGCATGCCCGGAGAGCCGCATCGAAGGACACCCTGTCCGCACCCCTCCCACGGCCCAGGGCTGAAGGCACAGAGCTGAGGACTCCCAGTGCCCATCTCCAGCTTCCGACACAGGCCATGATGGCAGAGTTGCAGCTAGTCAAGGTTGCCTGCAACCGGCGTGCTGGGAGCTCAGAGATCAGCTGCAGAGCCGGGCGCCACTCCTCCGCCCTCGCGCTTGCAGCCATGGCAGAATTGAACGATATCACGTCCAGCGTGCCGGCAAACGTGTCTGCGAGCAGCTGCAGAGCAACTTGCCAACGACCTGCCTTTGCACAAGTACCGATGGCTGTGTTGCAGATCACGGTATTGGCGCGCAACTTCCTTGTCGGCAGCTCGGCGAGTATTGATAACGAATGCTCCCACAAGCAGGCCCGGTCACATGCAGACAGAGCAGCCCCGAAGCTGAAGACGTCCAATTTCCGCTCTTGGCCAAGCTCTGAGAAGAGGGCCAGTGCCAGCTGCCAGTTGCCTTGAGCTACGGCGCTGAGAACCTGGGAGATGTGAAAAGTTGAGGCAAGGCCGAGCAAGGCCGAGGGCTGAAAATTCGCCGAGCTGCAGCGTTGCAAGTGATCAAATCGGGCTTGAGATCTCCGTCAGCCAACGTAGAGTACAGAGCCAAGGACATCTGCCATTCTTGGCCTTTCTCACCTCCAGGCAACCAGGTGGAAGGTGCAACAAACAAGGCTCCCTCCGTCTACCAGTTCCGAAACGCATCGTACCAAGACACATGCAGTTATTGCAGCATTGTAGATCAAGGTGTTGGGGTCAAGCCGCATTTCCTGCAGATCCTTTCGGCATCTTCAACTCTCATAAAGCTCGGGCCTAAGTAGCTCAAGTAGCTTCAACGAAACCCTCAACGGTCCTCTACATGAACAAGACTCTGGCAGCATCTAGCAGCTCTAGCCGATACATTGCGTGGTGGACTTGTTTAGATTGTTCCAGTCTCTGACTCAGCCAGTCTATCGGACACATGTGGGGAGTGAAAGCTCGTGAACGATGACTGGAAAGCCCACGAGACTTCCGTCCTCCATCAGCGAGAGAGCCCAACTCCAGCAATCACCCGTGTCGAAAGCAGCCATGGCTGCGCCGAAAGTCTGAATGTTGGGCCGGGCGCTGTGAGCTGGCAACCTTTCAGGACAAGCATCACGAGTCTGGAAGGCTTAGCTCGGCTTGTGCTGTGCACTCGGTCATTCCGGTCTTGCCCAGCCTCTCCAACAAAAGCAATGCCATTGACCAGGACGCCGAACGTGCTTGCGAGTTGACCGCTGCCGACCAGAGGACAACGTCGGGCTGCAAAAGCTCCAGCTCCAAGTCTCGCAGTAGCATGATTCCCATCCTCCAATCCTTGCCGGCACTGCGTGCGCTGCAGGCATGGAGGGCAGAGCTGTAGGAGACGACGTCCCGTGATCGGACGGCTCGGCATTGCTCCAAGAGTCGCACAGCCCAGGCCCAGCTCCAGGAGCCTCCGCAAGAGCGGAGAAGGGTGTTGAAAGACACCCGGTCTGCCAGGCTCCAGCTCCAGAGCTCCGCAAACGTCCGGGCAGCTGCTTGCCAGCGTTCGCCAAAAGCACCGATGCCCACATTTCCAGCCACGACATCCGGAGATCCTTGCGGGCTCCGCTGACGGCTGGTGTCCAAGTGCTGTCCGGCCCGAAGCCACAGTCCCGCCTGATGGATCAGCGCCTATAAATTCATAAACCAAACAGAACAAGCACTGCGGCCCTGGCTGAGAAGTCGGACCTTCGAGGTCGTGCTCGCGACACTATTGTAAGCCACCATGCCCAGACGCAGAAGGGTGCGAAGCTGCGACAGCAACGACTCAGCCACCTGCCAAAGCTCTGCCTTGCCGACTGCGCGCATGCACAGGGAGCCATCCCCATATGCCGAGGGAAGGAGTCGGAAGCTCTGCAGAGCCAGGAAAACTTCCTGTTGCCACTGTCTTGAGAACCGAAGGCCGCTTTCAACCTGGGTGGGGGGGCACGCCGCACCTCGTGCGACTGGAGCCATGTCCCGGAGCTCCTACCGACTCTGGGCACCTTTGATCGATACGAGGGCATTGGCTGCTGGCTCTCCGTTTGCACACCCACACAACCATGCACAACCCACACACGCAAAAGCTTCAGTTTTTGCTTGGTGGGCAAGCTCGCGATGCCAGCCGACATGTTCATGCAGTAGAGAACTTCAATGTCCCAGCGTGGAAGAGCATGTAGTTTAACAGTTTACGAGGTCGTTTGACAGAACTGGCGGCAACACTAACCTTCATTTTGCAAACAAGTCGACAAAGCAGCACCAAAAGAAGCGAAACCTGACAACAAACAACTAAAGATGACACGTCACCGTCAGACATACTGCATCTTAATAAGATAACATGTCGGCTTACCCTTGCAGTCACTGGCGCATCACCTGCAGCCACTGCTGTCCTCCTGTCTGCGAACATGATCTGCAGGAAAGGTCACCGACAGCGAGCACGGTCAGGATGGTAGATGCTTCTTACGCCCGCTGCTTCCATCGGGCACAGTTTCGTTGGCAGGTATCACCACGGGCCGCTGCGCTCTGAGTACTGACTTTTTCTGCCAATCGCATTTCCAACCAAATACTCCCCACACACACATTGTAAGTTTCCCATAGTTGCACACACATACTTGGCGGACTTCTGAACCCCTCCTAAAAGTTAAACTTTTAGCCTCCTTATTATAGTTCATATAGAAACCCCCAAAGTTAAAGTCTAAAGAGCCAACCAGAAGAACGCCAAGCATAAGCAAGCAGTCGCGTGGCTACGTCAACAGCAGACGAACCGAACACCAGCCGAGGGTTGTGAACTGGTTGTGAATGTACCAATCGGGAGCTTCTGCGTGGGACCATACTCGACCTGTGGTCAAAAGACAAACACAGATCCCTTTGCAGCGGTAGAGTTTTGCCAGGCTAGGCAACATCGGAATCTGCATCAGCTTCTGCATGGGGATACGATATACCGATATACCGAACGACTCAAGACTGTCCAAGACTCAAGCGACTCTTCATCACCCCGCTGTCGCAGCTTTTTCTCGTCTGCGCTGGCCCATCTGCTTCGTTTCCCAAACTGCTATCTCCTCAACTAGTCTCAGAAGGCCCAAGATACGCAAGAACCATCCCTGGAGTCTGCGATTTCCATTGCAGTGTCTGACACTGCGAAAGGGCCGCCAGGGCTGCCGGCAGAGGCAAAAGCTCCAGAGCCCCAAAGAGAGTGCAGAGCCAGGATGGGCTAAGAGCCTGCTTCAGGCTTTGACAATATGCGGCATTGTTGTTCTTCTGCTTTGTAATGGACTACAAGTAGGAGGAAAAAAGCGAATGGATTCCTTGCAGCTCCCCCGGATCAAGAGAACCTCGCCTCAAAGCTTGATTAATGCTTGCTGGGTGCCCATAGGCCGCAGTGGGGGCAGCAAGCTGTGCCATTGCAGTGGGCAGCGGCTGCCTCCGTTCACCCTGCGTTCGGGCACAGGTGCCACTACCACAAATCCCACGATCCATTCGCCGGAGGCCGGCATGCAAGAAGCTCACAGCGTCGGGACCAGCAGTAGCCATGAATGCTGGACACCCGCAAAGGCAAGCAGGCTCGTCACCACTTCTCCTTAATTCAAGCCTAGCATGCAAGCTGTCCTTAAGGCTAAATCTCAACACGTCGTCAGGCGTCACGGCGGACACTGACGAAGCTAAGATGGTCGTTCCTACTTTGAGCTGTGTCACTGCCTCTAGTAGGAGGTGATTCGTCAGTTTGAAATCTTCACGATGGACCGATAAGCCACATGATCTTCTGCACTGAAGGGTCAGGCGACGAGAAGCTGCAGAATGTAGAGGAGACAGCTCACGATCTTGTTAACGACTTCATGTCCGCTTCGGCACGATTGCACCAATTGACGCAAGCATTGCTGTTGGCATTGGAAATCACTAAGGCACATGAGAATCTTCTCATACCGTTCTTATTTCGACAATCCCGACCCTCAGTGGCAGGTCAGTTGGCGCGAGAAGGAGCAGCAGTTGTCACATCGTCGTCGTCACAGTCGCAGCCCCAGCCGCGATCGCGATCGGAGTCGCAGCAGCAAGAGCAGGGGCAGAAGCAGGGGCAGGAGGGGGACCGAGGGTGGCATTAGTAGCAGCAGCAGCAGCAGCAGCAGCAACAGTAGCAGCAACAGCAGCAGCAGAAGCAGCAGCCGCAACAGAAGCAGAAGCAGAAGTAGTCGTCGTGTAGACATCGTCGTGGTAGTAGTACGAGTAGTACCAGCAGTAGTGGTAGTCGTCGTGGTGGTGGTGGTGCTGGTGCCAGTGCTGCTGCTGGTGCTGGTGCTGGTGCTGGTGCTGGTGCTGGTGCTGGTGCTGGTGCTGGTGCTGGTGCTGGTGCTGGTGCTGGTGCTGGTGCTGGTGCTGGTGCTGGTGCTGGTGCTGGTGCTGGTGCTGGTGCTGGTGCGGTGCGGCGGTGTGGCAGTGAGGGCGTGGCAGTGAGGGCGAGGTGCTGGTGGTGCTGGTGGTTGAGTAGTGGCAGTACTAGTGGTAGTGTCAATGGCCGTAGTGGCAGTAGAAGTTAGTAGTGGTAGTGGTAGTAGTGGCAGTGGCGGTAGTCGTGGTGGTAGCAGTGCAGTAAGTAGTCGTCGTCGTAGCAGTAGAAATAGAAGCAGCAGAGTAGCAGCAGAATAACAGCCGTGGTCGTTGGTGTTTAGCAGCAGCTGCATCAGTCGTCGTGGTAGCAGCGATTGTTACTTACGGTTGCTCAGAATGGGATTCTTTGAAGCGGAACCAGGCCTTGAAGGAAGCGCAGGAGAAACGACCTGTGCAATGGCGACATCAGAATCAATCAGATTTTGGAACTTCGTCTTTGTTGGGTCTTTTCCGTGAGCTTGGTCATGAAGTCGTATTCCCGCCACGCTCAAGCCGAATCTAGGATTTGCACATTCCAGCCTACAAAACGCCCAGTCCCAAAAACAGATATCTGCGGGAGAAGAACATCAACCCATGCTAGGAAAACCTGGAATTTAAAGCAGAAGCAGGGTTCAAGATCTGCGGTGGGGGTTAGTTATCCGGGCTATGCGCTCGAGGCAAGCAAGATCAGCTAGACTGCAACCTCCGAAAGTCTGAACTCTGAACTTCGGAAGCTGCCAAGATACTCAGGTATTTGCGGTCTTCGGCACGACGCGGGGCGACTTGTGCACCTGTAGGCGATCGCTCCGTTTGCTTCCCAATGGTGTCGGCTTTTGCCTTTGTTGCTGATTGGCCCTGCTCGTGTTGCATTTTGGCTGTTGCTGCTGCTCCCAACTACATGATAAAAAGCCCTTAACTTTCCCTCGTTCTCCGTTCTATACACACGCACGCTTGAGCGTCTGGGAGTCTCCCCAGCACCTGAGAACAGTCAGACTTGTGTTGAATGGGAGTTGGAACCAATCGATGCCTCGAAGAGTAAATATTTTTCATTTTGAAAGCTTCGTCCACTTCGTCCTTAAGAGTATCGCAGCCACATACAACCGGGCACCCCCGAAGCCGACAGTTACAGAGCAGTGCAGGGACTGCCTTCGTGGCTGTTGCTAGTACTACACTTACTGCACTAACACCTTCTTTGGACTTTCTGCCTGAGTCCAGGGGCAGGATATGAGGCCTCTTTGTCCGCTGGCGTGCCTGCATCCACACCTAGGGCGTGAAGGGTATCTGCCCCAGATCTGCAAACCCACTGGCATCCTTGCACTCCCGTCTCCGTATATAGGGCTGTTCTACATTCTGCATGATTCCTCTTGCAGGCCTGCTCGCATCTAAACTGAGCTATGTGCTGAGGGGAAATAAAACTTACATATGACTATTGGTACTGTTCTGCTTGTAACTTGTCGTGTTGCACTTAGTCTTCTCGATTTCTTCAAAGGTGCCCGGACTCCGGTCCTGGCGGGGAACTCCAAGTATTCTACTCTGGAGTCTGCGGTGCATTGAAAAATTGGCCCTAATTTGACAGCCATGAATTAACCGAGTTGCCGTGGGTCCTCGCAACAGTGCCTTTGTGGCTTTGGCCCTGCACACTGTATGCTGAGTTCTAGCTGCAAGTGCCTAACAGACCTAACAGAACTCCCGAGAGACCTGACGGCTGACACTGAGCAGGTCGCATGATGAAGCCTGTGTGCAGCGCAAAGCCAGATGCAAGATGCCCCTCACAAGCAACGAGGCATGACCCTACCAGCAACCTTGAAATACGACCCATACCACCGATATATCCAGAAGGCAAAGGGCAGGGTGCGTTGCAGCTGCACGCGGCACTTTGAAGGCGCATCGTGATCATGGATCCCAGGTTGCTGCTGCATGGGTGGGGATGCAGCCGTGGTCAGACGTGCTATACACGCCTTGGCTTGCCTTCCGTCGAAAGCCGTGTCCAAATCCTCTGGGAGGCATTGAAGTCATCAACAAGGTCCCACAAGGCAGGGAGCACTTCAGCAAGTGGAAAGTTGCCATTCCCCACCGTGACTCGCAGCTCCTTCACGAATTTGCGAGCGAACATGAAGCCTTCCTGCACGAGCTTCCAGAGATACTCGATGGACAGAGTGTCAAACACGGCAGGGTATCCATTGAGCTCACGCTTCAAGGCTGATTTGAAGAAGTTGAACTCACGGTCTGTGAGCATGCGGAACTTCCCATGCTTAAACACAATGTCTAGATCTTTCGCAATGTTCTCCGAGTGGTCCAGGCGCGACTCCGTGAAGCAATGTCGCCAAAGCACGTATGTTAAGCACTGCTGCTCCACCCCTAAACGGGTTAAGTCAACCCACGTGTTCCCGGTACTGCGCTCAGTCTTGTCTATGTCCAGGAGCAGTGCAGTTCCTGGCACTGATTCATCGCTACAGCCTTCGCCCATGTTGAGGAGGTCTGGGGCCGCGTACTGCCAGGTCTCCTTCCACAAAGCCAAAGCTTCTGCTGCCCGCTGTATCACGATCTCGGCATGCTCGCGCTTGAGTACCACCCATTGATGATGTTTTAAAATGCCTGGGCTAGCTAGGGCGGCTTCA